GCGTTAGCTCTAGATGCGTTAAAGCGTTCTTTCCCGAACATCAGAGAAAAAGTATCGACTTTTATTTCTAAAAATATTAAATATTTTAAAATCGACACAAAGGGCACTAGAAATTTAATGCTACCGGGTCACAGTAAACCAGATTCGTTGCCATATTTCCCTATACAGAAAATGTCCGCTTCTACACTCTCCATTACGAATACAAAGATTGTAACTAGTCTGGGCGTCGTTTCTGTTAAACACTGTATCGCTTGGAGTAAGTGGATAACGTCTTTATTTGCAAAAGCAAGGAATAGTTGGGAATTGGAAGTAATTCAAAGAAGAAGAATAATGCTTGCACTAGACCGAGATTGGAAAGAAAATTGATACTGACACTGGGAGATGATATATACCGTTTCGAAATGCTGATAGAATTGTTGATCAGGATATTTTTATTTCGGCTTTAGCTTATATCTATTTGATGGATAACCCTACAATAATTATTAAGAAGAGAGAAAAAGATTTGTCGGCAGATATGACTCTCTCGATCCAACAACAACAAAAACGGCGAACCAATGCGACATCGTTTAAGATGGCTGCTGCAAATGTACCTTCTCGCCCGGTCGTGAGATCAAAAAGATCTATAGATATTTTCAGTCTAATAAAAGAAAACGAACATGTCATAAAGACTTATGTTTCATTCCTTACCGCTTCCAATCAATCGGAAAATGTTGGAGCAGATGGATTATTTGTGGAGGAGGGCGAACTCTACGATGTTGGGAGAAACTTGTATTCGACAACAGACAAGAGAAAAATAGGGGAAAAATAATAAAAAATTTAGATAAAAGATTTAAAGGTGTGTGGAAATCTATAAATCACATTTTAACAACACTACCGGTTATAGGGAATTTTGTATAATGAGCGTATTATACGAGTGGCTTTATAGAAGAAAACATCTTTTCAGTAACAATGAAATTCCAAATTTTAATGATATCAATGATTACTTGAAATATAACCTGCCAGAACAACACAACGAGGAAATAGAAGAATGGAATAATGAATCAAAAATTATCAAGGCTATCAATAATAATAATAATAATAATAATAAAAAGGACGATGATCAAAGTTTACCGTTTCCAAAGCACAAAACTATAAACAATATACTTAAAAAGAGATTTGATAACACTTTTTCAAACAATGTCGATAAAGGAGATTGTACCTTAGCTTGGATAATTACATTATTGGCAGAAAGATTCTGTGCTATTTATAATACGGTCAGTTACCCGTCTGAATTTTACGAAGATGCAATACGCGACAGAGAAGAAGGAGGATTAGGTCTTGCCTATAGAGGTTTATCCAAAGACAGTTTTTTATACGACTGTTCTGTGATTAAGGATACGATTAAAGGTTACCTAGGTTTGATAAACCGCAACGGGTATATGAATATAAATAATAACAACATGAACGATGATGGCGGCGCTACTACTGCTAGCGTGATAGACGTTGGACACGGGGGGAAAATGGCCTGTGGAGGTTGTGTAGAAAAAACAAAAAAGTTTGCGTCTGACATGATCAGAGAATATAACCAGCGTGTTAGATCTTAAGATTCGGATTTTAATTTTAACGATTGTGTTCAAGAGAATGTTGATATATCTAACGATACTATGATAAAAAAGATAGTGCTCGGTTCCGACACATACCGTAAAGTAAAAAAACTATTTTGCAGTGATAATAATATGATTAATAATATTGATAATGATGATATTTCTAATACTACCGATGATGATGATGATGAGGAGGAGGAAATCAATGATGATACTAGTCTTGATAGTGGTGATGATAATGATGATGATGACGTCGAAGATGACGAGACGGCGACAAAGTGTAAAAGTGAAGGTACGTTGGGGTCTCACGACTCGTGCGAGATGGAAGAATATTATAGTCTAAGACAAGCTGTTTTTTCTCAGACAAAAGTGCAATATGCCATAGGCAGCGTTTTATATCACTGGAGATTGTTAAATCTGTGAGTCGTCTATTCAAGACGAGTATTTTGAGAGACAGAAAAAAATTAAATCTTAAAGATAGATATTTGATTCGATATATTAATAATTCTTTTAACGTGTTTTAGAAAATACGTGGTGCCCCCTTTCCTCTAAATTTAATAAACAGTAACTGTACATGTGATAAGTCTATGCAAAAGTTTCTTTTAGTTATTCCCAATTCTCTCTTTACTAAATCGATAGTGACCCGAATGCGTTACAACACACTCTATCGCGAAAGAGCCGTCTTTCACGACGTTGCAGTAATGTTGGGTTTTACGAATAAAACAAGTAATAGCAAAAGAGACAAATTATACGATTCGCAACAACTAGTACAAAATAAAGGATCGTTCTTAATAAAGAATCTCTTGCACGACACGAGCCTCTACAAATGCATTACCAGGGATATAAAGCTCGGACAAGTATCAGAACCGCGTGTTCTCAACAGATTAGATTTTGACAAGGGGAATCGGATTCACTTTCACAAAACTAATAATGACACGTGGCGTCATCTTGTGATCGATCCGAATCGAGAAGGGGAGCGAAATTTATTTAGTGTTTTATTTTTGCTCGTGTCCAATTCATCTCCATCTTCTGTGGAGAATATGACACTGACGACTGTGCTCAACAAGGAGCGAGGACTGTCGTCTCTACTATCCGTAATGAGCGGATCTCAAAGAGAAGAAGAAGAAGAAAGAAAAACAGGAAAAAAAAAAGAAGCGAATACGATGGTGACGACGACACCGCCGCCGCCGCCGCCTTTGACGGCGAGCGTAAGAGAAGAGAGATGCTTGAAACTATACGACAGTGTCATTTGATAGATGCGATCAAAGATGTCGTTTCTTATTATAGCGATTCGGATAACCACAAGTCTACTACTAATCTTCGAAACGGCGGTTGTCTAATTTCGATATTGGAGCATGTTCAGTTTCTTTTTAAAAATTCTCTAATTTCCCTGTGGATGGTATTGTGTAAGCTAATGTTCAGTTTTCTTTTTAAAATAATTTCTCTAACACGTATATATAAATTACTATGGGATCTCATGACTACTCAATGTGAGCGTAATACATAGAAACATTCTATATATACATATATTCCAGTATTATTGATATGTAAGGACTGTAATAAATAATTATTTTATATATACTTTTGTAATGGAGTATATAGATACAGGTGTATGAGTATATATATATATATATGTCAGTGTGATAATTTATGGCCTTAAGTAATATGTCCTCAAATATGTAGTAGGTATATGGTGAACTATGCGAAACTTATATGTTTTATGTATATGTACGGCAACATGTCTAGTTGGATAGGCGTTTACTACAGTAGATATGGAATAACCTGGAATGATTATTAGTGATATAAAACCGCGAAAATATATATATGCCGAGGGATTAACTAAAATAGATTAGATAGGTCTACCGCGCTCTTTTTACTACATCGTGTAAGATGGCACTGACTCTCTTCTGTGTTGTTTATGAAGATATATAATTCTTGAAGGAAACGACATATGTATTATCTTGTAATAGAGATTTGTATTTATTAAGTGTGGGAAGTTCTCTTATTTGATGTATAGAATTAATCAAATGTTTTATGTGAATAGAGCTGTGTGTTGTGTGTAAAACATATCAACACCTTGAGATGAATAAAAATAATAACTAGATGTAGATTCGAGTGGCTGTGTGTGTGTGATGTGTGTGTGAAGTTGCAAGAGAAAAAAAAAAGAAAAAAGTATAAGGCAAGTATATATTGATGCTCTTATTTTATGATCAGAGATAAAAATGGCTAGTAAGTATAATGTGAATCGTTCGATCTGTGATAGATAGATTTAGATATAAAGAGTTATATATAATATTCATTCACTATTGAGACGTTTTCCGCTCTATTTTTGGTGTGTCCGTGA